TCAAAGGGTTAATACAGGGGTTCTGTGGGCTCAGTGGACAGAACTCAAAGGCATAACGTTGGGGTTTCGTTGACTCCTGAGCGGAGGACCGAGAAGAAAGATTCTACGTCCCAGCTCACCTCTTGATGTCAGGACCAATATACATTATTATTATTACCAAGACAAATGTTAGTGTTCAGTCTAGGGCTGGGCGAAGAATCGATTCCGGAACCGATTCCCAACGATTAATGCTACGGAAGAAAAGCTCCGACTCCTTTTTTACGTAAACCAACGCGCGGCCTCGGTGCTTTCTTGTCGTATCTCCATTTCTTTAATATTGAAAATGTGACTTTTTCTTAAGCTCACTCTTTGTTATGAACTGCTTTCACTGTTTGCAAAAATGGAAAAGCGACAAGAAAGCACTCAGATCGCGAACCATTACCAGTTACTGTAATCGTTAAAATGTTATTTTTTTCAGAATTTATTTTTGAAAAATAAAAGTTAATGCTTGGTATTAGTGTTCCAAAATCAAGGTCATCCTAAATCTTGAAGATGTTCGGAGCCAACCAGGTAACCATGGAAAGAAATCACATCTTTAGAAAGAAAGTAACTGTGCAAAGATCGTACATAACAAGATAGTTCACTTAGCCAAAAACCTGTCCGCAGAAGTCCGTACATTGGTTCAGATGGCGCTGCAGTCTTTGTTTTGAAGCTCTCTTACGTTTCTCCTGAAGAAGAATAGGAATAGCACAGTAGTTTGTCACTCAAGGAATTTACAACAAATTTGTTTCACTTTCACTGTTTTTCACACAAGTAGGGTAACTCTTATCGCAAAGTCCACACTTGCTCAAGAGGGCGCCAAGGAATTTTGAGCACACTTTTTTAATTGGCTCAAAGAGAGGGGTGAGCTATCAGTGAACCGCTGTAAGGGAACATTTGAGGAAGAATAAGGCGGATAGCGGTTCCCTCACTCTGGGTAGATTGAAGGAAAAGGGGATCCAAAGAGGAGAGGGGGATCTAAAGAGGAGAAGGGGATCCAAAGAGGAGAAAGGGATCCAAAGAGGAGAAAGGGATCCAAAGAGGAGAAGGGGATCCAAAGAGGAGAGGGGGATCCAAGGGGGATCCAAAGAGGAGAGGGGGATCTAAAGAGGAGAAGGGGATCCAAAGAGGAGAAAGGGATCCAAAGAGGAGAAAGGGATCCAAAGAGGAGAAGGGGATCCAAAGAGGAGAGGGGGATCCAAGGGGGATCCAAAGAGGAGAGGGGGATCTAAAGAGGAGAAGGGGATCCA